GAGTAGAACATGGTTTTAATTCTAGCATTTCAGCCACATTCATGGAGTTATTAATGTGTAACGAAAAAAATACTCAACTATTAGATGTAAATTTGTGTCTATTTTGGTGCTCTGAGATGTTATGATTATTTGGTAGGCCTTTTCTATTTTTCTTTGTCCACACGATATTCAATAACAACTTACAACGAGCAATAGGACCACACAGATGTAACTGGGTGTTTGTTTTCACTTGTTTATGCTCACAATTTCCTCTCACTTGAAGGACTTTTTTCTAGTGGCATATTAACGGAAGCCAATTTATGTTCTACTTCAAATGTAAGCTGATCAGGTATATGATATTTTTGCCTTCTTTTATTAGGAGTAATGAAGTTGGAAGCTACAAAATTCCGTCCAAGAGAGGTTGTGAAGCATGTTCTGCAGACTGCTGCTGCATCATTGCGAAAATTCTTAGTTTTGGAGGGACGTATAGCAGATGATGTCCCCATAGAGGTGAGGGTTATAGATGAATATTAAATGTTTTCAATTGATTAGCTGGATTTTTTATGCTAAGTAGGCATCTGAATCACAATTAAAAATCGAGTAATAGGTACGTATGACATTTGATTTAATATGCCAGAGCAACCTAGGCTGGTGGCATCATATGGATAGTTTTATGCCTCAATCATTTGAGGTAGAAATGGTCATGCCTGGAGATGTGCATTAATCCTAAAAATTTGTGCACCCTATTCAGTCCCCTTTTCAGAAACCTTAGCCATGTATAGCTTCATAGCTTATTCACATATCATCCACTGATAGTTGAACCCATATAATTTTTTGCAATCCCTGCCTATCCCTATCTTCCATTGCTTGATTGCTCGTTTTAGATGTGTAAACTGCCCATTAAACGGTGCAACGTTTCAGGTCATCGGAGATGTTCTTAGGATTCGGCAAATCCTCACCAACTTGATCAGGTACTGAATTTTGTAAATATTTGAATAAAATCATATATGGACTGCATAAACTTTACAGTTTGTTGCACAAAGCATTTCCATCCAAATTCTAAGTTAATAATTGAGAATTCAATTCTTAGGTAATACGCTGGGGAAGATCAATTTTTACTTATAGGTCTACTCCTCTTCCTTCTCTAATGCCTTCCCTCCCCTGGCATCTGTTGACTTGGTGCCGGTTGCCCTGTTTTACAAAATTACCAAATGTTATCTTTCTTTCCCGATAATAAGAAGCTAAGAAAGGCATCTTAGAAGTTAGAATAGCCTAGTTTTGGGTACAAGTAATATACACACTTGTCCTGAGGAAGTAGACATTCATGTCGTCAGTGAGGTAATATGGTTGACCAATGTGACATGAAATCCGTGATAAACACATGCATAAATCACGGAGAAGACTATATTCAAAAGATTCATGTAGACTGCCTTATATAGTTGATAGAAAGAGCGCTAAAGGGTTAATGCAGAAGGAATTTAATGCTTCCATTCCCACATCATCATATGAGAGTCCTCTAAATAGATAATTAATCGATGCAGTAACGCAATCAAGTTCACTCATCAAGGAAAGGTTGGAATTAACCTTTATGTGCTACCCTATCCACCCATCGGAAAAGGAGAAGAAAGCCCCAAGAAATCAACGGCTGATAACTCAACAGTTCCGGTAAATGGTTGGCAAGAAGGAACATGTCTTCCAGCCCCTCAGAATGGCTCGCGTGGCCAGAAACACGGTGACAGAAATCACTTGCATTTTGATGCACCAGGAACCCCTAGTAAAAGTGAAACCACACAGAATGGAAATAGAGAAAACGAATCTTGTTCACCAGAAACGACGGTATGGATACGGTGTGATGTTTTCGACACAGGAATTGGAATTCCAGGTATGCTTGAGTATATTTCTGATCATTTAATATACTAATTACACAATTATGAGTGGTAATGTTCATTTGATTTCTTTTGGAATGAAACAGAGAATGCATTACCAACCCTTTTTAAGAAGTACATGCAAGCTAGTGCCGATCATGCTCGCAAGTATGGAGGGACTGGACTTGGGCTGGCAATATGCAAACAGCTGGTAAACTGTTCCTTCATGTTAAAATTTGCCTCAATTTTGAGGGGCTTCTTCCGAACATAATCCAACTTCATCCTTGCTTGCTTAACCCATCATTATGCACTTGCTTTTGGAGCAGGTTGAATTGATGGGTGGTCATCTCACCGTTTCCAGCCGAGAGAACCATGGATCTACATTTACATTTGTTTTGCCATACAAGGTTTCAATCACCTGCAGTCCTTCCGATGATTCCGATGATCTCTCCGACGACGAGTCCACAAATGACGAAATGACTGAGGGCTTCTTCCAATTCCAACCCCACAGTTTCAGTTCTCTAGCATCTTCTAATGGCACAAGGATCATCCCAAACTCAATGTTACATACAACTGGGTATCACACCTCAACCAAACTCAATGGATTTTCTGAACCTTCTTTCCCTATTCCCACGAACAACATCACACCACAAGAGACTGCTTCTCATAGAGATGTCCGTTATGCCAATGCTGCTGCGGTAACCTCAAGCGAATCACAATGTTCATCGAGTCGGATGAACTCAGAGCTTGATAACGAAAACCAACCAGACACTAATGCTCGGTCCCAAAATGTTGGTGTGAATTCAGTTCACAGATCAGAAACAATGAAGCAAGAAAATGGATTGGAAAAGCCAAGTAATAAACTTCTAAAAACAGAACAGGGGAAGGAGAGATCCGATGATGGAAGTAACCATTGCAGAAGTAGCAGTAGTAGTGGTTCTGAAGTCACAATGGGATTGGAACCCAGAATTCTTCTTGTCGAGGATAATAAGACCAATATTATGGTTACTCAATCCATGATGAAGAAGTTCGGCCAAAAAATCCACGTCGTAACTAACGGAATCGAGGCTGTTCGTGCAGTTCAACGCCGTTCTTACGATCTCATTCTCATGGTATGTGTTTCTGCCTCTTCAACATAATTTTTATCAAAGTGCATAACAAAATTATATTTATTTAATATATATATCATCACTTTTATAATTTTTAAAAATAACATCTTTTAGTTGCCTTTGTTTTTTCTTCTTTTGTAAATTTTATAATTTATTGCTATAAATATTATATCATTTTACTATTTTATTTTTTTATTTGTGCAATTAACTATATTTTCAAGATTTTTCATGACATATTTTTATTTTGTTTGTTAAGGCATGCATTTTGATTTAACAAAATTATATTTATATGTTTAAAAATAACATCTTTGAGTTGCCTTTGTATTTTTTTTTTCTTTTTGTAAATTTTATAATTTATTGTTGTAAATATTATATCATTTTACTATTTTATTTTTCTATTTGTGGAATTAACTATAATTTCAAGATTTTGCATGACATTTTTTTTTTGTTAAGGAATGCATTTTGATTTTTATTCGGAAGATTCTCGCCTCCTGCTAGAAACGTACTCTTAGCACTTTCATCCGGATTTATACCCAATGGCAATACTTTTTAGGCAGATTTTTAAACATCTAACAGTTTTTTAAAAAATATATTCAGTTTTACCTTTTAAGTTTTGTTATATTTCGTAAATTTTGTGCTCAAAACATGTCGTGTTTTTAATTCGTTATTTCAGTAATTTACTCTGCTTGCTTGCATCATTGTGGTATATGAGGATTACTTATAACTTAATAAAAACACCAGAAGGCACTAGAATTATTAATGGAATTGACATGTAGATTAGCACCAAATATCTGGAAGGCTCGAGGGATTAAAATCAGAGGAGGAATTGAAAATTAGGTTTTTTAAACGTGTGGGAATTGTATGAGGAAATTTTGGTCGATTCGTGCAGGATGTATTCATGCCAGTTATGGATGGCCTTCAAGCTACAAGGTTAATTCGTTCTTTTGAGGAAACAGGCAGCTGGGAGGCAGCTGTAAATGCTGGAATCCAGCCAACTACGCCTTATTGGACTCCTTCCTCCCGCAGGATACCCATCGTTGCTGTGAGTACTTTTTCCCTTTCCTTTTTTCTTTTAATCAACAGCCTTAATCATTAATCATTTATGCGAACAGCGTACTAAAACATTAATAAATCAAAATAAAACATTAAAAGAAATTATATATCTATACTATTATGCGTATGCATCATGTCACATAAGTGATACTAGGTAAAATATAGATTAAATTACTAGATTAGTTTATGAACTTTTAAACTACTGCTTGAAACGTCCTTGAACTGTGAAACTTTAAATTTAATGTTGAAATTTTTTAGAAATGTATGAAATATGTAATAAAACTTACCATGCACTTTTCTTTTCACACACCAGCTTTGAAGTTTAAAAAATGTATTAAATATTCTTTTTTTTTTCACGTAGAAAGACCAGTTAATTTATCATTTTTATCATGAATATAATCATAATATATAGTTTTAAAGATATCATATAAAAATTTTCAAAATCAATACCCTGTTTAATAATAAAAGCTAAATAAATTTACATTTTCTTTAGTTTTACCACTTTCTGGAAACACCTTTAAAATCTTAACAAAACCTTCAAAAACAAAGAAACAAGTTTTAAAAATTTACTTTACCTGATGTTTAAAAGCTAACTATAGTTTAGAAAATTAGTATTAAGAAAAAGGGTTAAGAAATAAACATAATTTTCATATAAAAAACTATTAAAGACCCTTAACAATTGAAATCATCATTAATTTAGGACTGGTCTCAGTGCAAGAAAATAATTTACTAGTAGTGTAAGTAATGAAATGAGTGGGGTGTTGTACCTGCAGATGACGGCAAATTCAATGTCAGAAAGCGCTGATGAGTGTTATGAAAATGGTATGGACTCGTTCGTATCAAAGCCAATCTCCTTCCAGAAGTTGAAAGAATGTCTGGAACGGTATTTACCACAACCTCCCTTGTAAATGTATGGTTTGTTTTGAGAAAGGTAATGGTAGAAACAGTTCAGTAGGAAAGTTTTGTAATCTTCCCTTTACCTCTTTTCTTTTTCTTTTTTGGGTCAAGTAATGTAATCATTGTAACATATCCTCTTACCCTTACCACCTGCCCAATTTGTAAATTGTACAGTAAAAGCTGTGGTTAATTTCCAGAGAAAATCTGTAATAAAGTTATCACATTTTGCTTTCGTGAGAATTAGCTAAATCTTCACTTCAGTCAACATGGACACTAATCTTCTTTTTTATGTTTCCTACTAATTGGTGGGTGATCGAGCTACTCTAAGAGCCTAACATCTCAACTCAATCATGTTAAAATTTAAAACTCTTTGTTTGGCTCCATCAAGAATATCTAGGAAATTCAAAATATTACAACAGGTGTGACAGTGACTTAAAAAAGTCTGGAAATATTTGGAAAAACATGATAAAACATTTTAATAAATAACTTTCAGAAGCTTTTTTATTTAGCCTAAATTCTATTCCGTTCTAAATTTTCCAGGAGAAGAGGAATGGACCAAGAGGATAGTACTATATCTTTCAATAAAACAAACACACCTCATATAACATAAAATGGCCTCGAATGACGCTAACTTTTAATATCGTCTTTATTTTTTTTATGCTTCAAAAGCAAAAAGAAAAAAGAACTCAGACCTCATTTTTTATTCTTTACTATTTTTTTCAATGAAAAAAGAATGTCATGTCTTTTATTTTATTCTCTAAAATTAAAAACAAAATTTAGAACTAGGACCATCGTTTTTTATTCTTTACTATTTTTTTCAATGAAAAAAGAATGCCTTATCTTAAATTTTATTCTCTAAAATTAAAAACAAAATTTTACTTTTTGAGAAATGTTTTTTTAAAAACAAAGCAGTAAAATAAAAGGATTTGTAACTAAATAAAATATAATAAATTAAATTTATTATTCCATTTCGAACATTCCATCATGAGACCTATAGTTCAAATAAATATTTTAGACCTATAGTTTTTATAAAAAGTAATTTTTTTGTAATATAAATTGAAATCGAATTACCAATCTTATTTTTATATTTGAAAATAAATAAATATTTTAGATATAATATTTCACTCTCTAAAAGTAATAAATTACACAAATCCTCCTAACTAACCCAAGTCAAATGTTTCACTGATTGGTTCATTATCAAATAATTCAGTTGGTTTAAAAGAAAATGCTTTAAAAAATTGGCACGAGATTTGCTTACAAGACGAAAAGAAAAGGGAAAAAAAAAAAGAAAAAGAAAAGGAAAAACCAACTTTATCAAATGCATGTGTTTCAAATTGAAGGGAGAAAAAAAGAACGAAAATATCAACCCTTACTATCCCTTATCCATACTAAGCACTAAAATCTTTTACCCCCTAGGGTAAGATTACCACCCTTGGAACCTAATCAAATAACACATTCACCTATCTTCCCTAGAGGATGTCCAAGCATAGAAAAAGCAAACTGTAATAGCGAGATCAATGAAGACGGTAAAACATAATATCAGAAGGAGAGTGAGAAAACCTGTAGGTCCAAAGCTTCGTTGATTATTAGACTCCCAACATCCTTGCACTGTCAATTAACAATCAGATACCGTTCAAATTAGATACACAATAAATTTAGGAGAACTACAGCGAAGATACATTTCACACGATTAATTACAGTAGTCATAGTGCCATCTGAGTGGAATAATATGCCCTAAATGTGGGGATGACAACGAAATGAACAAACATGTCACATTGGATATGGAGTAACTAGATGTTAAAAAGGGCCAATTTACATGCTTCGTTAACCTTTAGGAACAGAAAACAGCTGATAAACATAGGACTGTGTTGAGCTATGTAGCAACATTTTTTCATCAAAAATGGCAAGACAGAACACAGAAGAAATCTAGCAAAAAATTATGCAGCCAAACTACAGTATTTTCAAGACAATAGAACAGAGGGAATCAAAACAAGCACACAAACTGCTCCACAAATTTCTTTGACGGAAAACTACACCTCAAATTCAATTCATCTCTGGAAAATGGATACATTCAGCTCAAGATGTACCAGCTGATAACCTTTATTTTCCATGGACACATTTTTTTAAATCAGTTTTAGGCAGGAAGATTATACTGTGAGCCAAACAAAAAGCTGCGCAGTTATGAATAATGGTCTTAACATTGAAATTCAGTCGAAGGGAGATAGCACTAGTATAAATTGTCCTTACTTCCTGAAGATATATGCGCTCAAGTAAGACAAACCAAGGAAGTGATAAAGAATTTTGGTTTAGCTTGAAAACTCATTAAATGAATAAGTTCCTCAACACAGCTAACTCTTGAGAGCAAAAGATATGAAGCGGGAAAATGACAAAGAATTTCTTATGATTTAATTAGACTAAATCTTTGAGTGCAGTTTTATTTCAGAGCAACAGAAATGTTATCCTATCAATGAAAAGAGAAAAGACCTTCAAATTGCAGAGACAAACCACCTCCGCGTGCATTGTATAGCTTAAACGGTAATCTTAGCGGTAAGCATGACTCGTTTATCGCCAAAAACAGCGCCAAAGATGAAATAGTCATCGTCTAAAATCAGCAACAGTCATTGCGAACAATAATATACTCGAGATATTGCACTATAGACCTCCAAATATCTAATTAATAAACAAAATTAGACTAGATGATTATTGTCTTCTTCCAGCCGACTTACCATTACAACGGATGATGCGTAATATATTAGCAGATTGCGAGAGCTCCAGACCGCGTTTTATCGTATCGAAGAGCATATAGAGATTTGAACACGCCAAGTGTGTCGCCATTGCAATTTCTACGGAGAAACCTCTTGCGGAACAAGAGCTACGAGCCTCGTCCTGAAAAAATCCAAACACGGACGCGAAACACGACAAATCGACATGAAATTAGATGAACATTCAACATTTTACAATCATCTCTTGGAAGATGACGAATGCAAATACATATTTCAACGATTTTGTACATGAAGTGCAGAAAACTGCTAGAAAAACTCAAAAGAATATGAACTGCGACTAATCTGTCGACGAGAAACAGATATACTCTACGATTTTATAAACGAAATGTAGAAAACTGAAAGGAATATGAACAGCGATTAATCTGTCGCTGAACGTAAATGGATGAAAATAAACGATTCTAAATGAAGAAAAATACCTAGAACCGAAGGTCCGCGCGCCGTGTCTGTGATCCGTTTATACAAAATCACGACGAAGAAAAATTGGAAATGAGAGTGTAGATTAAGGCAGTTGATTTCCATATTGTAACTCTCAGGAAAAGAAAATAGCGCGAAAGAGAGACTCCGACGCGGATCTCGTTCCTGTTCTCCATCCTAGCCCGCTTTTATAGTAGCGCCAGGCTGTACATAAAAGACGAAATGCCCGGGCCGTACAAGTTACGGTTTATAGTTTTGTAAATATCAATAATTTGTAATTTATTACATCCACATATTTTTTTAAATTCAAACTTTAAATTTAATTTTTATTTGGAACCTAAAATATTTTAAAACTCAATATTTTTGAATTTTAAATTTGATTTTTAATTGATAAAAAAAATTTGAAATTAATTTCCATCTCTTTTTAAAAACGACATACCGATAAGTTTGGTCAAATGTCTTAGTAATGTTAAATTAATTTCAAATTTTACTACTCAATCACTAAACATGTCATTTTTTAACACTTTACCCAAATATAAATTAAATTTTAATTATAAATAAAGTTTTGGATTTAAATAGTAAAAAAAAAAAAAAAAAAACATTGTTGATTAGATCGGATATTATTCTCTCCTAAAAAATGCTGTAATTCTTTTATGTAGTGCTCTTTCTTTAAAATTAGATGTTTTGGAAAATTATAATATAAGGTTTTTTAATTACGAATCTAACCTTTCATGTTCTTTATTTATATTTCTATCAAATGATTCCTCATATTCTTCCTCATTTCTGATATTTCTTCTGATAGTGAGAGCTAAGAAGTATATAGATGAACTGTCTTTTACTATGATTAATATTGATTGTTAGTATAATTAAGCACGTGTTTGCACTAAATTAAAAGTTTTCGAAAAGATCCGATACAACAAAATTTCAAAGATTATGCGCAAATTTAGAACTACAGTACTCATTATCGTTAAGCTAAAAATTGCATAAAAATATTTTTCAATTAGAGATGATAGAATGACGCGGCATACTATGGTTATGGCACTTCTTCACTCGAGCTGGAACATTTGTTTTTAAGATTTTGTGAGACTGTATGTCGGTTGAAGAGGGAAATTTCTCCCTAGTAGACGCGTTTTAAAATGGTGAGACTGACACCAATATGTAATTAGCACAAACAGACAAGAATTTAGGTCGTACAAAAATGGTATGAACACTACTCCCTAGTATACGCATTTTAAAATGGTGAGACTGACAGCAATATGTAATTAACACAAACAGACAAGAATTTAGATCGTACAAAAATGGTATGAACACTACTCTCTAGTAGATGCGTTTTAAAATGGTGAGACTGACAACCATATGTAATTAGCCAAAACAGACAAGAATTTAGGTTGTACAAAAATTGTATGAACACTAGCAAGCTTTGATAAATAAGAAAAAGACATTGGAGCGTTTGTACCAGGCCTATGTGACTAGTGCTCATTGGAGCTTCATTATAATCGAGGCTCACAATTCTTTGTTTGATATTTGAAGATTAAACGATTTAATTGAATTTGGACCATTTTATTAAATATATGAATTTTTGAACATGATAAAATATTTTCTATGGTTGAGGTAAATTATTGATTAAAGAAATTACAAAATATAAAATTGGCGCTCCAAAATATTTTATTTGCAAAAAGGTCCGAAAACGGATTTTGATTTGGGGCCCACGAGGGCTGTGTAGGCCTCTTCAGAGTGGAGGTAGGGAACCAAAGCATAAACGGATATATTTCTTATATATCCCTATAAAATAAAATTTATTATCCCATTTATAAAATTAGGTGTCCGAAAATGCACCACGATTATAGATCTCGCTTTTTTGTCCAATTAGATTTGGTTCTATTTTTAATTAAAAATAAAATTGGCGCTTATGCCCTATTATAATAACCCTAAAACTACAACCCATAACTATATTTAATTTTTTATATTAAAAAAACCTTTAAAAAAAGTACCATAAAATTTGTTGTGGGTATGTATTGACTTCTTTTAAGAATTTAAATTAAAAAAAGAATATAAAAAAGTCAAAAATAAATATTAAAAGTTTTGAATTACAAAAATCAATTTAAATTTTTATTCATAAACTTGTCCATAGCAATTTAATTTAAATGAAATTGACCAATTTTTATCCTCCATTATTTTATAAATTTACTAATTTCAATAATATCAAATTTGGTACAAATTAGCCACTAAATAACTTTATTAACTCGCAATTTTAAAATTAAAATAGTCGAATTTTACTGTGATTTGATTGTTTTTTTATTATTTACTGTGCAAATATGAAGTTATAAAAATAACAGCTTTATTAATGCTTTATAGAATTAGAATCAGAAAATAATAAACTAAAAAATAAAAAAACTTTTAGGAATACCTCTAAACAACTAGGCCATTTCATGTATGTTTTTAAAATACATTATATTCTCATATTAAAAAATTAATAATAATTTTATTATAATACTAAAATAAAGATCACCGTCTAAACTCGATGAATACACGAAGGTCAAAGATAATAGCGGGAAACAGGCGTAAATCGCGGGTCTTCAGTAGGTCCACAAAATGGGCCCACTATGAATTCTCGTGGGCCCATATAGAGCCCACCAACCAGCGTCAAGATAGTGGGCCTACTAAAACCAAGATGCTTGAAGGGTATTTTTAGTATGAGGGGCCACCACCAGCTTTGTTGACTGCTGCGGCAGGATTTTCATTTCACGTATGGTGATCTCACTTCATTCATATATCTCCATCATTTACTCAGCTCACATGCTCACCAACTTTATGTTGATTCATCCCTGAACTACATCTTATTAGGAGAGGTACCGCTTTGATACCATTTGTAATGATAGTATAGTCAGAATTTTAATTATGATTTATAATACAAATTCGACACCTAATGGCTTCAATATTTCCCTTTATCTCTTGCGACATATGGTCAAGTTACCTACTTTTCGCTTCTAAGAGCGAAGACTATCACCACAAACTAACATAAATTCTTTCAGCATGTTTTGTTCTCACTCACATGCTTTTAATGAAGTCATCCAACATAAAATTGCTTAAAACAAAACATGCTTAATAATAGAGTTCTTACGATTGAGTCACTGAAAAAAATTTACACCTTATTGGTATAGGTAGTTACTTTTAATCCTTTTAACCCTTTCATAGTCATTCTATCCTCAGTATTGATCTTTATATTTATAAGGTTTGTTTCTTTGGTCCATAAATATTAAAAAAAATCAAATAAGCTTATAAACTTTCATGTTGGTTTCTATTCGACTTTTATAAAAAAGTTCATAGATCCCGTTCATGCAAAATTGAAAGTTTAAGGTTTATTAGACACGAAATTTAATTTAGTATTTAATAGATTTGTCGACCTTTTTTAAATTATGAATACAATAATTTATTAATTAAAAATACAAAAATTCAAAATTCAAAATTTTAATTTTAATTTTTTTAATTCATAAGTTGCAATAATTGCAATAATTAGAAAGTCGTGTAAAAGATGATATTGAGTAACTTGTATGCTAAACTAGGTTGAAATTGGGAAGATAACCTTTCCTTTTCTTTAACCGTTTTTATTTCTCACTTTTCAAACTAATCGACATTTTAGAAATTTTAAAATCATAGCTAAAATTCAAAAGAACAAATATAGTTTTCAAAGGTCAATTCCATGTCCTTTTTAACTAAAATTTCAGTGTTGATTCAAAAAGGTAAAGAGGCACAACAACCAAATAGACAAAATAGGTAGTTAGTATAAGCTTTGAATTTCTAAAATTAAAAAAAAAATCATTTAATTTAGGTATATTTTAATTTTATAATCCGCTCTTATCTAAATTGACATTTAGCGTAAATTAAAGTATATTTCAAACGTTAAAATGAAAAATATACACACTAAACTACTTGTTGAATGAGTCTTCTTGGAACGGTCGATTAACTCCAAAGGACTCAATGATTTAACAATCCAGTGAATTGGTCAACTTAAAAAGATAACACAGGCTTTAGATACTCACCCAAATTTTAAATTTCGATGAAAAAGGTTGAGGAGTGTCAGACGCGAAAATAGTTATTAGTCTCAACCTCTTGTGTGGAGTAAGACAGGTAAGAACAATAACATCAATACTACATTTAGTTACTGGCAGTGGAATAAATTCAAACATCAAGGCCAGACCAACAGATTCAAAGCAAATAGGTTTGACTTAATTGTTTCTGACGGTAGATTCTAATCATGATATTGATCCATCACAACTTTAATAACTGCAGTATTAAAAGCTTTCGAGCAAGGCAAGCATGTATATCCGGATATAATAATGTAGTGTATTTAATAATTTAATTTTGATAGTGAAAAACATGGTTTAAATTTAATTTGACATTATTACCCTTTAGGACCCATAAATTATTTAGCATGAGTGCATATAAACTGTGAAGTGGACAAATTCGTGATCTAATAAAAGTGTTGAGACTCGGGCGAGTAAAAGAGAATATTCCCTTCTTAAACAAACCGACAAACGTGACCCATCAGGAAAAGCTAACGCAGGAAAAGAGAAAGAAATGAGGCGAAAAAAAACGCTCCGTTCCTTCGTCCCTATCCACCTTGCTTTCTTCCTCCTATAAATACTTCATTCTTCACGCTCTTTCATCTCACAGACCTAATAATTTCCTTTTCCATTGTTTCTTCCGATCAAATCAGAACAGAGATCAAACGAATTCAGTAACAGAGCAGAAGGAAGCTTGAATCAATGGAGAGAATCTCGCCGTCGGCACAATACTCTTCGCCGTCGACCAGTCCGAACATTGCAGAGCGATCGCTGTGGCACTCTCCGTTGCCGTATCTCTTCGGCGGCCTTGCGTCGATGATGATCCTGATTACCTTTTCGCTCGTCCTTTTGGCCTGTTCTCACTGGAACCTCTGCCGACGGAACAGAGGCAGCGACGATTTGGAGAACGGCGGCAGTAACGAAGCTAAAATCGACTCGGAGATGCGGTCTGAGAAGGCTAACTACGACGATAACGTTCTGGTTATAATGGCCGGAAACCAGAAACCGACGTTCTTAGCCAGGCCTGTGTGCGTACGAATTTCCTCCGCCGTGAAAACCGCCGTTGAGGAGAAAAAGACA